TGTGTGTATATATATATATAATTTTATTTTTTTTTATTATTCACTGCCGCTGGTTTAATACCCTCTATTTTCATGACTTCCAGCCCATCTTGTTACTACCCAGTGAACCGCGGGTTATCGGGTGACTGCTATGGCTACCCAGGTGGCCCCACGTATGTGGAAGAGTACCCCCTGTACCCACCAGGGGTGCGACCTGACAGTATCTGCTCTGTCTCTGGTGTGGGGGCATACGATCGACGCTGGACTGTCGACGAGAAGCGTCACTCACTGAGAGACCGACCCCATCAGCTGTATGAACCTCCAATGCCCAGGGACCAATGGGGCCCAACGTACTATGGTGGAATGGAAACATCCATGAGACGTCTGTCCATCCAACCACGCTCCAGGTCTGTGCCCAGGTCACCATCGTCATCATCAGGAGGACCCTACTCACCGGTGCCACCCAACTTTGCCTCGCCGGCTCGATCCCCATCTGTCCGCTTTGATCGGTTTCCAGGGAGGATAAGGGACGACGTGATCTATGCTGATCCATCCGTCTACAGCCTGAGGAGATCCCTCAGCTCACCAAAGGTAAAACGATGAGCATTTGTGTTTATAGAATTACAACAACAGACTACAACACAAAAACAGACTACAACTCCCTTATTCAGAGTTTTTGTTCTAAAATGTGTGACACTTAGGGGATCAGAATTTCAGGGGAAAAAGCTTTTTTCCTATGTTTTCACTGATAATTATACTGAATGTAGGTTTTGATTTTCGGAAAGTAAATTAAATGAAATGTGTCAACGATGCTTAAATTAAAACAGACCTAAAAAGACATAAATAACCATTTGGTGTGCAAAAAGATTTTGTCTGCAAAATGAAATAAAGAATGAGATTAATGTTTAGTTTTCATATTCATGTTTTTACTCACACAGGCTCTCCCCTCTTCTGGGTAATACTCTCCTCCTATCACAAGAACGCATTCACCTACTCAAAGTTAGCTTTTGCATAGTCGACCAATCAGGAAATGCCTACCCTATTACATGCGAACCCCACAGTATTAAAGGCATCACAACCCGCTGTCTACTTTACTTTTTCTCTTCATCGAACAGCAATTTCCCACGGTTAAAATCGCAGCTTCAAGAATCTAGTCAGTGCCTGTCATGTCCCGGCCTCATTGCTGTGACAGATCTTCACAATACCTGCTTCGAGCGCCTCAGGGCAGACCACGCAGAGAGCAGTGTTCAGCCTGTCCAGCCTGCCCGGTCCCTGCTGAGACACCAGCTCTGTCTGCATAGGATGATGATGTAAGGTGGTAGATTACCAATAACTGCAAATGTTTATTAGGCCTCTCTGCAAGAGAAGGCCAACCAACCTTATCATACGGGAAACAATAGTGAGAATAATATATATAGATAACACTTTAGAATAACTACACGCTATGAAGCATTAGTTAAGAATGAGTAAACACTTAATTCATCATTTATAAAGCATTGTTCCTACATTAACACTCATTAGTATGCAATTCATAACAACGGTTATAAATGTTTTATTCTTGATTAATAAGCTCGTCTACCAAGTGTTTCGTGATTGTGTTTTCATACATTATAAATGATGGATTCCCCATTTGTAAATGAAGTATTATATATTTTACAAACCAATTATTGAGTTGTAGATGATTCATAACATAATTTATAAAGTGTTAGTAAATGATTAAGAACTTATTTAGATGTACATTATTCATGCATTTATATATATAATGATTTAGATATGCACTAATGGTTAGGGACTATGTTAATATATGCTTTATAAACACATATTAATACTGCAATTCATGATTAATTCAGGTAGTTACTAGTCGTTAGTAAAGTATTTTGCATGACCTCATCTAAAGTGAGGACTATCTATGCCTTATAAAGCATTTATAAATGACATTGTGCCTCAAAACCCAGCAAAGTATCAGTTATCTTCTCAACAGAAAAGGCAAATAGACACAACACAAAGTGATCAAGAACATATCAATATGTATTACAAGATGCAAACAATGTACTCGTAAATACATACCTCTCAGGCATTGTAAACAATTCATGTAAAAAAACAAACAAAGAGATTCTCCTTCAGGAGAACATGGCTGGATATAAAACGTTCACATTCACTGCACTCATTTGAACAGATAAATGGTCATCTAACATTGTCGTTATCATTTAACAGCTAGTTAGCCAACTGTCTTCTGGATCGCTCTATTTACAATGGAGGTGACACCGTGGCGTGCGCCGTCTAAGGACCTCTAGTTAGTGACTTGCCAGCTGGAAGGCTATCTATATACTCATCCTCCATAATGTGTACGTTCCAGCAAACTAAGAAACATGCTGATGGGCATTGGAGGACCGTCAGCAGTCATTCTTTCTTGCCCGGGTCCGCGCGCCTTTTCAACTAAAGTCGGCGATTTCCATAGCGTAAGTGCACTTCCGTATCAGTTCCTGAGCGAAACGTTCGTCCCACGTTGATGACGTATTAAACGGGCTTTTCCTTTGTCCCACATTGATAACGTATTGAAAGCGGGATTTCTCATTTCGCGGTTGCAAACAATGAGCAGATTCGCCACCTGCCATCGGGACATGCAACTGAAGAAAAGTTGCGAACAGTGGAGATCAATATGCTTGGTTAAAATGAATAGTTAAATAAGTAAATGTAAACTAATATGCAAAGCTCCTGGCTAGCTCTAGTTGTACATTTACAAATGTTTTGTATCCAGCCATGTTCTCCTGAAGGAGAATCTGTTTAGGTTTTTTACATGAAGAAATGTCTGAGAGGTAACTTATGTATTTAACATTACATTGTTTGCATCTTGTAATAAATATTGATATGTTCTTGATCACTTTGTGTTGTGTCTATTTGCCTTTTCTGTTGAGAAGATAACTGAGACTTTTGTGGGTTTTGAGGCACTGATGGCCTTTCAATGTCATTTTATAGACGAGCTTATTAATCAAGAATAAAACATTTATAACTGTTGTTATAAATTGCATACTAATGAGTGTTAATTTAGGAACAATGCTTTATAAATGATTAATTAAGTGTTTACTCATACTTAACTAATGCTTCATAGCGTGTAGTTATTATAAAGTGTTTCCTATATATATATGCTGTAACCATATATATCTTATGCCACTCTAACAACTTTAATTCATTCTTGCCTCCATTCCTCCCTTTCTTCTTTCTTTTCCTTGCCTTCCCTCCCTCCTTCAGTATGACTACCCTGGTGACAGGAGGTCCTTAAACCAAGGATTATACCACTACAACTACCCTGTATCCCCTTCCATCCACAATAAAATGGTATGTGCCGCTAATGTCCTGTAAATATCCTTCTACTGGATTAGATGCATAGTCATACACAGTCCTGGGTGGTAGGCACAGTCTACAGTAATTATGGCACTTAATGCAGTGGTATGTGTAGCTTTTCTTTGGTCTTTATTCTGCACATCTGTCCTCTGTATACATGTACTAACCATGTACTCATCACTCTCTGGACCTTTTCTATCCTCTACCCCTCTCTGCTGTCCTATCTCTAACACGGTACTGGGACCGCTCTTGTGTGCATATGTGCATGAGTCTGCTTGTGTGTAAATTTACATATAAGATAAGAGAAAGATGACTTAATGGCAGACAGAATCAACCACCCTGGGCTCCACCAATGTCCCTCATGATCAATGGAATGTAAGGCTTCCAAGCAATCCCATGAAGTTCTGTAAGCATCAAGCCGCTTGATTAAAGATGAAATGTGACAGCATATATAACGTTGCATGTTCAATTATGCTGGGGTAAAACAACATTGTCATTTCTTTCCACATTCAACAGAAATTTCATACGTAGATCACAAAACACCAACAAATCCATCTCGATGACAACTGATCAAACTCCAATCTGCTGAGCAAGATTTAGTAAGACTGATGGAGCCCAAGAAAAATTTAGCAACGACAACTTGAGATTCGATTATTTATTTTTTAGTAAATAAAACCCAAGAACACTGAAATGAATTGGTTTTAGTCAAAGATTGGAATCCATTTAATTCTGTTTACAGTGTTGCAGTTAATCATTGCCCAGGAGCTGTGAACCTTCAGTGTGATTGACAAATCGGTTGTGGAGTTTTGCTTTGCTTTGCCACTGTCTCCTCGCAAGCCTTCTATCTGTACAGTATATGTCTGTGTGATTTTCATGTGTGTTGCTGTTACTGCTGCTTGGCTCAGGAGGATATATTAGATCTTCAGCTCCAGCGCAACCTGGATTACTTAGACCAACAGGTAAGAAGATGAGCAAACATTATTATTTGCAATTACATATTTCAAATGCTATGTTTCCTAGTCAATGTTGACATTGACAGTGTCTGAGGTTCCTTCCCTACAGTCTCATTTCCTATTTTTTTTTCTTTCCTTAAAAATATCGTTCCTGTAAAGTACCTTTAAAAAAACATCATTAGCTTACCCCAACACAGTTTCGGTATTGTTACAGTCACCCAGTTACACAAGCTTGTTGTCAGGTCTCTATAATCTGACCTGAATCTTCAGGTGCTCGAGGAAAGCTGCCTAATTGGCATGGTTACCCGAATGGTGGAGCGCTCATCCTCAACAGCAAAGCTCTGTGTACAAGTAATCGAGGAGAGAGCACCACCACAGAAAGGCAGGCTTCAGCCAGCAGCACTTCACCACAGCTGCTTCTCTCATGGCTTAAGCCCTAACTAGTAATTCCATTTTCTAGCTGGACTGTCTTTTGAATTGCTTTTTTGACTTTGGAACTAATTAGGGAACTTCTAAGCAAGTGTTGGCTAGTCCATTATCGTCCAATTTAGTACCGTGCAAAGTTCTGTATAGACACCTACCCAAGCCTGCCTCTCTTTTCTTGTTTGCATGTGGCCCATACTGTCACTCACAGTCAAACACATTTATGATGATATTCTTCTCTATTATTCCATCAGAAGCTCACATCATACTTTTTGCTTCTGCTTGGCTGTAAGGTTCTGTGACGGTCTTGGTGACAAAAATGTCTTCATCTGCCCACGTCTGCAACAGTCTTGGACTTTTTTTTTCTCGATATCCATATCTCATGACTGTGTGGACTGTGCAGAATACACGTGTGAACAGGTCCACCAACACATACTCTCAATGTGCAATCAATGGAACTGTTTACATGTCTGAATGTGTCCATTGTGGAGTATTGAAAGGCCTCAAAGGCCCTGACATGCTTGTAGAGTCAATGCATACCATCTCTGCCATCATATGTTTGTAAAGTTTGTGTCATATGAACCCTCTCTGATACTTCAGCTTCACTAGTACTGTTTATCATGGACAATACTTTTCCCAAAGTGTTTCATCTCAGGTAGCACTTCATAGTAATCCTTCTGAGGACTGATAGACCCTAAACTCAATCTTCTCAAACCTAAACCTTATATTGGCCATACACTAATCTGGGCAAAAAATTACTTTCATCTGTAACAAAAAGGCATTAAAAATATGACAATTTTTTCATTCAATGACAATCTATTGTCAAAGCTGCCGCATTGGCGCTTGTGAAAACTATACTTAGTCTTTGAGTTAGGAGCCTTGGTAGGCTTACATTACATTACATTACAGTCATTTAGCAGATGCTTTTATTTAAGGTGACTTTCAATAAGTGTATTCAACATGGTATTCAAGAGAACTACTAGTCACCAGATGTCATAAGTGCATCTCCTTTTTTAAACGAGCATCTAAGAGCATAAACCAGAGCGAAAGTACAGAAACAAACTAATATGAATACAATAAATGCTAAGTGGAAGGCTCAGGGTAATACTTCTTGAAGAGGTGAATTTTCAGCCTGCGCCAAAAGATGGGCAGCGACTCTGCTGTCCTGACGTCAGTGAGGAGTTTATTCCACCACTGTGGGGCCAGGACAGAAAAAAAGCCGTGACCGGGTCGATCGGCCGCAGGGACCTCTCAATGACGGGGCAACCAATCGCCCCGAGGCAGCAGAGCGAAGTGGTCGGGTGGGGGTATAGGGCTTAGAGATAGGAAGGAGCTGGTCCTTTCACTGCCCTGTAGGCTAGCACCAAAGTCTTAAACTGGATGCAAGCTCTTACAGGGAGCCAGTGTAGAGAACGGAGAAGGGAAGTTGTGTGGGAGAACTTGGGGCGATTGAACACCAGGCGAGTTGCAGCTTTCTGGACAAGCTTCTGATGGCCGACGCCGGGGCACCGGCAAGTAGTGAGTGTGCAGTAGTCCAGGCAGGAGATGACAAGAGCCTGGATTAGCAACAGGGAGAGTGCAGAGCCTAAGACGCCCATCCCCTTGAGGGTGGAGAGGAGGATCTGGTGGTTCACCGTGTCAAACGCCGCAGACAGGTCCAGGAGAATCAGGACAGAGGAGAGAGGGTTCGCTCTGTCACCGCAAGGAGGGCTGTCTCAGTCGAGTGACCCACTTTGAACCCGGACTGGTTGGAGTCCAAGAGGCTGTTCTGGTGGAGATAGGAAGACAGTTGGTAAAAGACAGCACGGTCAAGTGTTTTGGAGAGAAAGGGTAGAAGAGAAACCGGTCTGAAGTTCTTGACATCACAGGGGTCAAGTGATGGTTTATTCAGAAGGGGGGTGACTCTGGCAGTCTTGAAAGCTGTGGGAAAGCATCCTGAAACAAGAGATGTGTTGATGAGGTGGGTGAGGAAAGGAAGGAGTTCAGTTGCAATAGACTGAAGAAGAGGGGAGGGGATCGGGTCAGGGGAGCACGTGGTGGGGCGGTTAGATGTAACAAGGTTGAGGACCTCGTTGGGGGAGAGGGGAGCAAGATAGGGTAAGCTGGGGCATGGAGAGGGGAGGGAGACCTGAGGGGGAAGAGCTGGAGAGGGTAGAGAGGGAGAGGGTGGACAGGGAGAGGGGGGCTGAGAGAAGGAGGATCTGATATTGTTTACCTTCTTGTCAAAGAAGAGGTTCTAACTTATCAGTCTGGATGTTGAAGTCGCCGAGCAGGATGAGTGCGGAGCCATCGTCATGGAAGTGCGAGACTAATGTGTCAAGCTCCTCCAGAAACTCACCCATACACAACAGCAATGGTGAGCTTGACTGGATAAGTGACAGTCACAGCATGAAATTCGAAAGAGGACGGGGAGAACTGTGGAACAGAGACAAGAGAGTATTTCCATTTTGGAGAAATTAGCAGGCCAGTACCACCACCCCACCTCGCAGCTCTGGGAGTGTGAGAGAAAGAGTACACATCTGACAGAGCTGCGGGTGTGGTAGTGTTTTCTGGTGTGATCCAGGTCTCAGTTAGGCTACAACCATACTACTCCGTTTATATGTGGAAGCAGAGTTGTCAAATAGAAATGATCTCCGTCCACACGGGCGTTTCAGCATCATTTTCGAATTGATCTGCATCCACACGGCAACCTTCGAAGACGGACAGCACGTGACCATTAATGTACACTGGGCATGCGCGTGACGGTGTAAACAGGAAGTAGATTGGTTGCTGAGTTTTAAAAAAATACGAGAGTAATAAAGTAGTCTTTAATAATGAAAGGTTGTGTTTGATACTTAAGATCTTCCTCTAAAATATTCCTCTATAAACTCAAACAGACACAGTTCGTGGAAAGTTTTAGAAGTTTTATTTTTCAGACTTAGTTACAATGCTACGGGTCTTTCTCTCTCTCTCTCTCACATCAAATTTACTTTAAAATCAACACTTACACGTAAACGTTTACTAGATTATGGTCCATGAAAGCTTAGCAGATCGCTAACAGTAGATCCGTGAAATAAAGACCATGGAATCCGTAGAAGAGTTTCAAGACTTTAGTGTGAATCTTTCTTATTTGTAAAACTGTGGAAACAATATGAAATATGGCTTTACAAACTGTCCATATACACATACATGAATACAAAACAACAAGCCATCATGTAACATGTCTGACTAGCTAGCTTCTAAGCTAATTTTAACATTACCGCCAATGGAGAAATGTTAACCGCGATTAGCATTTAATACAGCTTCTGACGTCCGCTCCATTGGGCTGATGACGCCGCTGGTCACGCCACTCGCTAATCGCTCCAATAACAGCTGCTTCCTCCACAGAAATGCAGAATTTTACTACACAACAGCTGCTAGTACAGACAACAAAGCAAGCAACGCTTGAAATTCGTTATCCATGTTGAAATTAATTACTGGTAGGCAGTTTGTTTTCTTCCGGGTACGGGTCACGTGATAGTGAGTGTGACGAATCAGGGAAGGAGACGTCATGGCTGCTAACAGCCAATCCTGTAGCGAACACGGGTGTGGGCGTCATTTTTTCTAAACACATCAGTTTCCAACCGTCCACACTCAAACGCAACCCCAGAGTTTTCAAACACCTCCAACCTCGGGGGTGTTTTCAAACTCCTCCGTTTAGGGTGCTCCAAAACTCCGGCGTAGTGTGGCCGCTCAGTGTAAACGTAGCAAAACATATGTGTTTCCAAACGTAAGCACAGTAATGTGGACAGGGCCTTAGAGCAAGAAAGTTGAGGGAGAGCAAGGAAGAGTAGCCTGAGATGAACTCAGCTTTCGGCACTGCCGACTGGCAATTCCAAAGCCCCCCTGCCACCACTTGCTCGCCATGAGCTGAGAGAGTAGGATAGATGAGATTAGTGGGGTCACGGCACCTGGGAGTGACCTAATGTCTACGTGACCACCTGACAGAAATAGGATGCAAACACATGTTAGTCAATATAAACCGATTACTGACCCGCAAGTACACGCTCGAGAAGTCAGGCTTGAAAAAGTCGCCCTGTTGCCTTCGTAAATCACACCTACATTAGACAAGCAGAAACTCCCAAAGTACTAATACTGAAGCAGCCAAGGTACAGCTAATAACAACTTGTAAAAGCAAGAACAAAATACTTAGTCTATTCTAAGTGAATCAAGTAGTGCAGTATCCCTCTAGAAGCCAAATACACACTGGAGTGATACTTTCACTGGACTGACTATTTATATCCTTGAGATGTGCAAGCCAATTCCTGGCACTTAGCAGAGAAATTGACCAGGTGAGACTAAATCACACCTACCTTAGACAAGCAGAAACTCCCAAAGTACTAATACTGAAGCAGCCTAGGTACAGCTAATAACAACTAACTAGGCCATACAAGGTGTTTTCCGGAGGGAGGGTGAATGGCATGCATCATAGCTTCTTCCTGACTTTATCACACTGTTGTTTGTGTGTCTTTATTGACATGTTGAATCGTACACACTGAGTTAACAATGCATCATTTTGACGGGCTATCCTTAAAGGCAGTCTTGCATTTCTGTATATCTTTTGCTGCTAAACCCAAAACCTCACCTTACTGTGTAATTCTTGTTGACCCCTTCAAACAGTTAGCTAAGTTGTCGTCCATAAAAGTGTGTACAATCATTTTCCCATTCATCTTGTCATCCCTTCATCTTGTTGTGATGATTGGTTTCAGGCCTCAGTTTTCTGTCATAATACTGAAAGTTATACAACATGATGTTCCCTTAATCACATTCTTATTCAATCACAGTTCTTAGGAGGACACATTGTAAATGTTGACGTAACAGTTGTGTTCATGGTTCGGCAGAGGGTTGCTTGGTTGGCTTAGAGGAAACAACTTTCCCCTGAACTCTTTTCACTTATTTACACTCTCAAGATGTATCATGACATATTTCAGCATAGTTCTTCATTCTGGGACATGCACCAAAGAGATTCTGTGACATTTACAAATGCATTATCAGAATGCCAACATTTTGTTTAACTTAGGCTGAAGAACAACTCTATTGGGTTTTTCTGGCTCCATCTAACTGATGGCAGATATTACGTGCAGTATTTTTTGTGGAAACTTAATCACCTGCAATCTGCTTCAAAAAACATGAACACCGAGCCAGGAAAATAATCACTACAAGCTCATTTTTTAAAATAACAGTTTCTTCATTGGCAGAGAAATTATTTCTTTGTGAATAAGGAAATGTTGATCTTGGTGACTTTCTAAATAAATGAAGCTTTTATGTTCCTCAGAATTAGGAACTTACTGTAAACATTGAACTGTTGCTTTCCTCTCAATGGTATAGTTAGTGTCTATACTGTTTGATTGACTTTAATCATCCACACGATTTGTTCAATGTTTGCTCTCACAGGTGCCTCCTTTTCATGACGTGTACAGCAGAGAGTTACATCCTACACTCAAGCTCAATGAGATTGAAACCAGTGTAAGAGACACTACAATGCATGCAGATAGCAGACAAATAAGCACAGCCAAACTCTTATCCACATGACTAATTTTTTCAAATAAACTACATGGCCAAAAGTATGGCCCTGAGTATACAATAATATAAAATATAGGGTTCTTATAACTTTAGAACAACATGACATGGACATGACAATGCCCTTATACACAAAGCCATCTCCATAAACAAAAGGGTTTTCCCAGTTTCTGTGGAAGAACTTGTCTGGTCTGCCCAGATCCCTAAGCTTAACCCCATCCAACGCCTTAGGGATGGACTGGAAAGCTGACTGTGAGCCAGGCCTTATTGCCCAACATCAGTGTTCGACCTCACTAATTCTCTTGTGGCTGAAACCAGAAGAGTGGAGACTGTTACAGCAGCAGATTAAAAGTGACACATTCAGCTATCACATACAGGTTTAATGTCCTGGTGTCTATGTGCTTTGGGACTGATACTGTAAGCGTGTACTCACACAGATACATTTTTTTTACTCTTTATCTTCATTTTATGTTTTTTTACTGGATACAGCAAAATATATGTGGTAACCATCCGTTGTTGGTCTGACACAGAAACTCCTGGGTCGACTGTGTGAACAGAACCGAATTTGGAAAGACCATGAGGCTGTTGTCCACAGACTGCGGATGGAAAAGGTACATCATTTTTCACAGTATTTTACCACGTGTTTAAAGAATGTTTTAGATTGTAAAACTAACCAAATGTTCCAAAAACAACTATGAAGTCCTGTGCTTCTAATTATTTGTGAGGAAAGGAAACCCATCTTATCATATCTTACCATGTGTGAAGATATAGAAACACCTGACAGTTGAATTCAATACCACAGTTCAGCTAAGAACACAAATCATTTGTTCAGTTTTTATCAGGACTTACCTAATTGTTGAGGCTGCACTTTGTGGTGATGTTGTATGGGACTTCCTTACGTTGAAAGTTATTTATATTATTTTCTTTTTCACAGCCCAATTCAACAAGCCCACTTTCTACACAGCTTCGTAAATGACCAAAGAGTGGACTGTTTTATTGTATTCCTGTACATTGTAGGGCATTTTATTTATACATGCATACAGTAGCTTGTGGTAACATATGCCCACTCATTGTTTTATGTCAACATTCAAAATAAATGTACCTTTACACTTTCAATCCAGAAACCTTGAGTAACTGTGTTTAAATATAGCTCTCGTTATGTCCTAACATTACAAACTATAATAATAGAACCATGAGTAGCTCTTGTTTCATCGCAACTTGTTTAATAAACTAGAATATGTGTTCAGCTGAAATACTGCACCTGTTATTTAAATTTAGGGAAAAAGGCAGGAAAGACAATTTCCAATAAGCTCTTCCTTTCTTGCTCGCCTTGCTTGCTGTTTCCAGGACAGCCTTGAAGAAGCACTTGTGGCAACTCATCAGGAGATGGAGCTGTACCATAACCAACCTTTGGCCCTGGAAAAACTGCGGTTCAAAAAGGAAACTCTGCAGAACCAGCTCATCAACATCAGAGGGGAGCTCTCCCAGGCCTCTAGTGTAAGACACTGCAAAACATATTCAGGACCCAGGTAGTTGCAATGTTAAAAGATGACCATCTGTCATTATTTTTTGGGAAGAATGTGTGTGTGTGTG